TTCACTACAAAGCTGCTTGTAGTAGGCCTACATATATAAGCTTGGAGACGAGAGAGAGTACTGCGTTAGACCTTACCAAAAATGATCACATGGAATAAGGTCCATGTTTGAACAGCAAAATGATGCTTTCTTGTTTTTAAATAACAAAATGAACTGCTTAAATTAGAGCTCAAAATGGAAGATAGGAGAAAGGAAGAAATACCATTTAATTACTTAAATTATCTTATTCATAACAGAGGAAGCAAATATTCACAACAGGTAATGGCAAAAGCTGTCATTAACAATATAAATTGGCATTGCAAGCTCAGAAAGGCTCAAAATACAAGATGAATTGAGAGAAACAATCTGATCATCAACTGCTTAAGCAGCAATACAGAAAGACGAAAAGTCCCAAACTTCACTATCCCTTTCTACTTGACATTGTCAGTAGTCATCTCCTAAAAAGAAAAAATAACACACTTCATATGACAAAAGTAATTATGATAGTGCCCAGATGGCAGTTGGAGACATAGTCGACTGAAAGCGGACTTGTGTATGAAGCTGCTATTCTGGGAGACATCAACGAGTTAGAGCTCCAAAACTCGCTGAGGAGTGTGTCTATTTGCTTCAGTCTTTGATCTCTTTAAACCAAGGCTGCTGTGAGAGGCGTATATGCTTCCTCACCAATTGTAACATTTGGAATTAACAACTCTGTTGTAATTTTTGTTACTCATGAAGTCCTGATTTCATCCAAAAGAAAAAGAGGATCAATTATCTAGAGAATGAAGTCAACAATCCCGGAGTAACATAGTAATCAGTAAACAGTGTGTACAAGGAATATGGTCACCAACCACAGGCATGAACACATCTTTAACCAGCTGCTGATTCCAGGCTTGCAGAGGTTTGCCTCAACAAGGATATGAAGAGTTCATCTCGTCCTCTGAAAAAAATCAAAAAATGACATATTAATTGTATTCTAAATAATAAAGAAGGCAAAATGCTGGGAAAACAAAGTAAACAAAATTTGCATAAGGGGAGAAGGACACTGTGACAGAGGATCATAAAACTACACCAATGTAAATCAATTCATTGAGAAAAAAAAAAAAAAAAAAATAAAAATAAAAAACTAGAGGTGCAACATTGGACTTGCAGGTAATACATAGGTAAGCAAGCAAGCAAGAGTATGCTCAAGAAGAAGCTCACCGTTCGGATTGCCGTGTTGATAGACTATAATGCACTAGGGCGTGTAACTAAAACTGTCAACTATGCTAAGAATTTGAATGTTACTTGCGAAAGAAACAAACGGATCAGTGTTATAACATAAACTTAACATAATTAAACACCATGCTTACCATAAACATGGATATCAGGGAAGTGGGCTAAATAAAAATGAAACTACTTACTAAGATTAGTGCTGGGAATACAAAGTAGATAAGTTTGCGTTGAGAGAAGGAAATCTTCAAGTAGCATGCAGAGATTCTGCCTCAACTATTTCAACATAGTACTTCTACCACAAAAAGGATGTTCACAGTCTCATTATGATGCGCATAGCCAGGTTTCTTCCTGCAAATTCACCCTGAAAGAATAACAGGATAGCAAATTAAAATTGATGTTCATATGACAAGAAGCAGGGGAGGAGCCAAAAAAATTTCTTTTGGGGTCTAAGTGTCCATCTTCAACGAATAAAGGAGTTTAAATATAAAAAAATAATTTCGAAAGCTGCTCTAATGGGAGCTAAGTATCGGGTTCAGCGAATGGGGTGGAGAAAAGGTTGAAAAGTGAATATTTAAGAGTAGAAAGATATACTCCATGTAACTTTTGAAAATTTTGTGACACAATTTCACCACTGACAAGAAAAAGTGAGTACTTGCTTCCCAATTTAAAAGAAGTATGGGAATCAAGTCATACAAAAAACCACAAATGTTTCAATTTGCTAAAGATTTGATACAAATTTCGATTTTTAACATGGTATCAAAACAGAATCTGATTTTAACAGGGTATTAGAGCTTATACCTACGAGAGAGGGGACAGTTTGGGTAGAAACCACAATTCAATTCCCTCACACAATCCCCATTATCGTATCATTAGAAAATATGGTATGGAACTGCAGAAACTAACAAAGCTTCAAAACCGACTAAGAAGGTTTACCTATGGACACAAACACACATGGGAAAACCTTCCTCAAAAATTATACAATTAATATTATTAGCTGAAAGTTACATGAAACAGATGTTCTGTTTTGCCTCAACTGTTTCATCGTAGCAGTACCGCATCGACAATGACATGTGGAGGTTTTCTTCCTGTTATTTTGTTCCTTAGGAAAACAACAATACAAGAATTTAACATTGTGTGTTCAGGGGGCATATTCTAATACCAAGTTCTTAGAGCTACGAACATTAAAATAAGTTAGTGATAACTTTTCCTTTAACCAAGAAAAACAGAGGATTAAAATGTCAAGCAATTTGATAATAAATTAAAAGAAGCAGCAATTTGAGGCAGAGTATGATTATGTTTACCATTGATGACTGGAGTTGGGAGTTCAGATATTCCTGCATGTGGAAGTGGAGCACAATAAACACCCAGTTGTTATATATTAAAGCTCATCTATTTATTGTTAAAGTAAACAGGATTTAGGTGTTCTACTTCACATACCTCAAGAGCTAATTCTTTGGATTTTGAGACTACGTAGAGCTGTTCTTCCTTCCTTTCTACATCTTTACAAAATACTGATTTCACGGATATGGGCAACTTCGACCACTCTTGTCCTTCATCCTTCTTACACCGTTCTTTTAACAGATCGCAATCCGTAATCCTTAATTCAAAAGTGATGATGGAGGGCCCTCCTCTGGAAAGGATATAAGATCCGGACATTGATAGATTCTCATTCTTGAAGAGAGGTGACATTTTGAAAGGCTTGGAAGATGTATTTTAATTTTGGGAATTCCGAATGAACAGCTGTGTTAAAGAGGGCGGCAACATCCCTTCTTCAGGAAAAGATTCTGCATCTGAGCCTTCCTAGTCCAGTGAGAGGTAAGAAAGTGATCGTACAATCCCCACTCAATCCGGAGGTATTTAAGAGAGGTGAGCTTGTGCAATCCCCACTCCATCTGGCTTACAGATATTCGGACCTCCGACTGTAGTGATGGTCTGTGGGGAGACCTTCTTCTGGAAATGTTATCTTGGACAACGGATATCGTCAATTTTTGAAGAGAGTTGAGGGTGTGGATCCATTGGGAAGAGCTTTAAGATTGCCACAACCAGATATATAGACTTCTCGGATTGTGCTGGGAAGCCTTTGATCAGGGAAGGAAAAAAGACTATCACATCTAGTATGGCGAATCTACGAAGAAAATTAAGTTCGTGTAAACCCTCTGGTAGGCATTTAAGATTATCACAAAAGCTCACATAATATCTGTGAGAGCCATGTTTTTGGGGAACCTCTTTGCTATTACGTCTAATTTTTCACAGAAACTAACCATGAGTTTCAAGTGCTTCAGTTGGTTGGTTTTCTAACAATAAGATCGGGAGTTTTGGGCAGTTGTCAATTTTGAGGTTCTTAGTTTAGTAAGTGACAGACCTTTCGATGACAAACAGCGAGAGATGAGCACATGCTGATGTCCAGTCTTCTAGCTGAGATATTCTAGAGTTGTCAATGTTCTCTCTGTGCGTCACTGAAAGAAGATAGAGAAGAAGTGCCAACATCTTCTGTATCATCCACAAACACTCAATTTCTTACAACTATACTGATAGCTTTCTCAGAGATAAAGGAAGCTGACCTCTCACAATGCATGTCAAGAATCACAATTGTCAATTACTAAACTTTCAAGGCGCTCAAGCGTCTTAGGTAACTGACGTGCTGATGATAAACTCATGAGCGATGAGCAATCGGTTATCTTCAGATAAAAGCCGAGTGCTCAGTGAAGAAGAGGATGAAGTGCCCACTTCTCTATCATAAAACAGATTTGCAATTTCTCACAGAGAAACTCTCAAGTGTCTCCAAAAAGTTAAAGACTCACGATAATCTCCAAGCCAATCTGGAAATTGTGTGCCACCATATCGTTCGATGCAGAGCTTTTTCAGATTTTTGTGAGGTCTTAATATATCAAGTACATTTTTCTACTTCCTCACCTTGACACTCTTTTTCCCATTGCTACAATCAATCTAGCCGTACTCGTCTACTTCTCCTTGTCACATAATATGCTTCTCGCGAAAGTGAGGTAGCATTTTTTAATTTGAAATATAAAGCTTTCCACGAAGAAACTTGAAGTTTACAAACATCCAAACTAGATCATTTCTTTGCCACGACAAAATTAGATAATATTCGAAGATTCTTCCAATTTTCCATTCCCAATGGCATCTCTACTAGTTTACTTCTTGGATATTAAGATGGCTTAGATTGATCAATTTCCCATAGGAGGTATTTTTTGATTAATCTACACCATCTTAGTTGCAAAACCTCTAAGTTGATTAATGAATTCATTGACTCAGGTAGGCTGTAATAGCAGTGGTTTGAAAAGCAGAGGTCCCTCAAATGTTTCAAATCTCCAATGGTATCAGGTAAACTGATGATTGGAGCACTCCTTAACATATAAAAATCACTCTTTAAGACACCCCCTCATTTTTTGAATTTGTGGAAAAAAAATTGGAAAATCTATACCAGATGCACATAGTCGACTTCAAAGATTGTCCTCAATTTCACAGCTTCATGGATTGCTTCAAATTTGGTGTAGACAATTGGTGATGTCACAAGTGGCGAATCTTTTTTAATGCTTCTGATTGGTTGTTGATCCTCAATTCTCCTCCAATCTAAAACTTGTATCTCCGAAGCCCATTTTGCTAAAATCATTAACAAGATCGTGCATTACATAAGTAGAATGGAACTTTTGCTTGATTTCTGAAAAAGTGATCTTGATAACGATCTTGGAAATATTCACCACCTACATCTCTAATTCCTTATGTGATTTTGACTCTTGAATTAGACCTTCTGCTCATCACAAAAGGACAGGCTCCTCCTCTTTGAATCATAATTCTTTGGAAAAATTGCACAATATGCAAACATCTTTAAGATGGGACGGAAATAGGTGATAGCTTAACTTTAACACCATCGGAATCTCACTATGCTTACTTGAGTTCAACGTATCTTCCCATATTTTACTGTCTAAAACATCTTTCCACTTACCTTCTCTTTGCTCACAACGTAGAAGGCCACCAAGAGTCCTAGCAGCCAAGGGCAAGCCACTGCACTTTGAGGCTACTTTTTGACGAATATATTCCAAATTTGTAAATGTAGCGATATCTCTATTCTCGAATGCATGTTTGGCGAACACGGACCAGCAGTCTTCTTCCGATAAGAGCTCTACATTATGATGTTCAATGGATCCAGTCATTGTTGATACAACATTGAGGTTGCGTGTTGTAACAATTATCCTACTCCCTGGTGCTCCTGCCATGAAGGGAGTTTTTAGGATTTCCCAGTTACCATAATCCTCATTCCAAACGTCATCCAAGACAAGCAAGAATTTTTTGCCAACTACTTGAGATCTCAGTTTAACTTGTAGTTGGTTAAGAGTCTCCACATCGGAATACTTGGAAGTTATCTCCTCCAAAATTGCCTTGTAGATCTTTTGAACATCAAAATGATCATAATCCGAAGCACAAACCCATACTTTTGGGTCAAAATCTTTCACTTTCTGGTCATTGAACACTTCGCGAGCAAGTGTTGTTTTGCCAATTCCTCCCATTCCGACAATGGGTATTACACGAAAGTTGGCATCACTTGGTTTATCGTTCAACATCATTTCAAGTATTTTGGCTTTATCATCATCTCTACCAATAACAGCCGGTGCAAGTTGCAAGGATGTAGTTGGTAGTCTTTGTGGTACAGCAGTTGATGTTCCTCCAGCAATCTCTTTCAACCCAAGACAATCTCTTTGTTCACACAGATCTTCCAAACGGTCAGTTATCTCTTCTATCTCCAACTTCATGTGACTGTTGGACAGCAAAGAAGAGAAATAATCAGTAAAGCTGTTCGTGGGGTGGTCTGTAGTCATCAATTTGCGCTCTGCAAGTTGAGTGGCATATAAATCCAGAATATCTTCTACATCATAAGCCAAGTCTTGCAGATCATCCAACCACATTTTCACTGCCTTGTTGGTTAGTTGCTTCTCTTCTGCGTCGTTAAGTACTGCTTGAATCATCAATAACCTTTTCTTCCACTGCTTTATCACTGAATCTATCCCAGATTCACGCAGAAAGGACAGCAACCTACGATCCGCCAATCTGTCGAAAAACACCTCGAGGAAAGCACCCAGAATCACCTCTCCCACTGCCATGATTCTGGTCGAGTCTGTGAAAGAAAAGAAAGGATTGTCACAAAGTAGCAACAGGTAAGAGAGAGTGACAATATCAACAAAACTGTCAAATAAACTTATAACACCAACCAAATTCATATAGATTTAATTGTTTAACTGCAACCAAATTCATTTTTGAAAATAAAAACATCAAATACAACAATGATCTACCATCAATTTCTTGGTGTAACAGCAGTAGACCTCATCTGATTTCCTCATAGTTTTTAAGTACTGAATTGACTAAATTCTATTCATGAGTACTATGATTTATCTAATTTAAGTTCAAACACAAAGTTAAAGAAAAATAATCCGCCAGAGAGACAAAGAACTAGTGTAAAATGGGGCAAGATCCAATTAACAGGTATCTATATCCAGATTTATCTAAGTTTAAATTAATAAGAAGGTACGAAGATGCTGATAAAACATACATCTAAATGTAAATATGAAAATAAAAATTCGAAAAACAGATTTGAAAAGAAGAAAATTACCTGTATTGTGCTTTCCTTAACACTGAGAAAACAAGAGTAGAGATTGAGGGAGAGCTGGTAAGAGCGTAATGAGAGGATAAGAGAAATAACTGAGAGTTTGATCAGAGAGGTGGAAATATCTGTGGAAAAAATACTGTAGTTGACTGATTCTTTTGAGGCCCAGAACCACTCATTTACTCTTGTTATCGAAACATTAAAAAAAAAATCTCTTTGGACGAAATGGAGTTTATTAGTGTGAGGTGCAAGGAAATTTCTCAAAAAGTAAACCCTTTATTTTTTGTTTACACATCTTGAATAAGCAACCAAAAAATGCATCAAAAGAAATCTTTGTTTTATTCTGTTTCTGCTATTTTTGTTTTCCCTGACATTGCTAGAAGTAAATGAAGGTTAAGTTGTTGAATTATAAGGTGTGTGGTCTCACGTACAATATTCAAATGCATCTTCTAGCCTTGTGTCATATATTCAAATTATGCATATGCCAAATCCCAGAACTCCACAAGTCTGTTTCTGAAAGAAACTGTAACCAGATATATTTATCAGGAAGTGTATGATAAAATTTCTTGTACAGGATTCCCTGTTTTTTCCGCAAATAATTTCATGATATGATATAAACCATTCATAATCTGCAGAAAAAATTAGTGCTGCAAATTTATTGTAATAAGGAGAGTATATCTAATACGTTAATAGAAAGATTTCAACCCAAACAACTACCTTTAGCTGGCTGCAGATTATGTAAAAAACCATACCTTAACCCCCTCTCATCAATGTATCAAAACTGTTAATTACGAACTTATAGTTAATGTAGCACGCTAGAAATCCAAGAATGGCATTGGAGGGACAAAATTAGATGTATTACATTGTATAATGCTTGACATATTAGTGTTGATTTTCTCGGGTATTAATCTGAACTATGAGACACTCTCTGTGATTTGAGTTCTAGTGAATGACAAAATGCAGTCATCCATAATTAATAATCTGCCAAAGATTAATGCTGGATGTGAGTATAAAAAACGAAAAGAAAGAAGAAAAAATGTCTTCATTTTGGGGCGACCTTTCTGATAAGAAGAAGAGGAAAAATAAGAAAAAGAAATTCTGAAACTTTGCAGCTTTGACAACTCAGAAAAATCTGGACATTAAACAGAAAGGAATCTATAATGCAGGAATAAAAAAAAACGATATATGCTTCAGAAAAGGCAGTGTTGGTGACTAGAAGAATCATCTAACATCCGAATTGGCAGAGCAGATTGACCAGATTTCCCAGAAAAAATTCTAGGATTCTTGTATGTTTATGTGGTGATTAATTTATGTTGAAGTTCTGAACATTTTACGAATTTAAACTAACGTTTTTGTTTTCCGTTACCCTTGAATAACGTGGAAACGATTACTGTCAGTTGACCCGCTAAACCGTTAACGTTAACTAAAGGAGTCAACATATAACCGTAAACTAACGGCTACTAACCGTCACCGTCTCTTAACGTCTTGAAAAGATTCCGCATCCGAGACTTGAGTAATCCAGAGGGAAGTAAGAGAGGTGAGCTTCTGCAATCCCCATTTTATCAGTTGCTTAGAGATATACCTGGACTTTGAACTACAAGTGATGTGAGGCTGGCGGGGAGACCGTTTTCCGGAAAGGTTTTTATACTTGGATAATTACATATGCTTAGTACTTGAGGAGAGTTGACGGAGGGAATGCCATAGGGAAGGGCTTCAAGTTTCCAACAACAATGTAATTCACTTATCGGATTGTGCTGGGAAGCCCTTCTTCAGGGAAGGAAACAAGACTTGGACATCCAAGAATAAAAACCCTTTGAAAAGGACTAAGATTGCGTAAAACATTTGGTAAGGATTCAAGATTATGACAGAAGTCTGATGTAAATTTCATCTACTGAAATTTTGAACTGAAATTTTGCTCTACTTTTCATTCATAAAACAGGGGTGTTTTATACAAAATATCATCTACTGTTTCACCTAATATTACAAGGATATTTTGTAAAATACATTCTTAACCATTCATCTAAGACTAATGATGGTACAAACCATTAAAATAAAGCCTTAACAACCGGCTGCTATCACCTAAAGCCAGTACATTAACAATTCAAAAATGAAACAGCTTCACCAACTGTAATCTGCCCAGCAGCATTCAAACCTGGCGCCAAAAAACCTGCAAATTCAAACAGCAACGTGTTCACATATTTCCAGCAAAATATCATCAGCTTCAACAAGGAAGAGTGTTTCTATAACTACAGCTTAATTCTGAAGCTCTTTTTGATTTAAAAGGAAAAGAAAAAGTGACTCGGGTAGTGGAGGAGAAGAAAGGAATTCATTCTTTAACTGTGGATGTTATAGAAACGATGGGTAATCAAGCACAAGAACCCTGAAACAAGAAGGAGAAGAAAGGAATTCATTCTTTAATTTTAAGCTCCATATGTATATGCATATTACTAAGCTCTAATCACTAAAATTCTAGTATGGCCGAGCCAGTCTCCACATCGGAATACTTGGAAGTTATCTCTTCCAAAATTGCCTTGTAGATCTTTTGAACATCAAAATTATCATGATCAGAAACAGAAACCCATACTTTTGGGTCAAAATCTTTCACTTTCTGGTCATTGAACACTTGGCGAGCAAGTGTTGTTTTGCCAATTCCTCCCATTCCGACAATGGGTATTACACGAAAGTTGGCATCACTTGGTTTATCGTTCAACATCATTTCAAGTATTTTGGCTTTGTCGTCATCTCTACCAATAACAGCAGGTTCAAGTTGCAAGGATGTAGTTGGTAGTCTTTGTGGTACAGCAGTTGATGTTCCTCCAGCAATCTCTTTCAACCCAAGACAATCTCTTTGTTCACACAGATCTTCCAAACGGTCAGTTATCTCTTCTATCTCCAACTTCATGTGACGGTTGGACATCAAAGAAGAGAAATAATCAGTAAAGCTGCTCGTGGGGTGGTCTGCAGTCATCAATTTGCGCTCTGCAAGTTGAGTGGCATATAAATCCAGAATATCCTCTACATCATAAGCCAAGGCTTGCAGATCATCCAACCACATTTTCACTGCCTTGTTGGTTAGTTGCTTCTCTTCTGCGTCGTTAAGTACTGCTTGAATGATCAATAACCTTTTCTTCCACTGCTTTATCACTGAATCTATCCCAGATTCACACAGAAAGGACAGCAACCTACGATCCGCCAATCTGTCGAAAAACACCTGAAGGAAAGCACCCAGAAACACCTCTCCCACTACCATGATTCTGGTCGAGTCTGTGAAAGAAAAGAAAGGATTGTCACAAAGTAGCAACAGGTAAGAGAGAGTGACAATATCAACAAAACTGTCAAATAAACTTATAACACCAACCAAATTCATATAGATTTAATTGTTTAACTGCAACCAAATTCATTTTTGAAAATAAAAACATCAAATACAACAATGATCTACCATCTATTTCTTGGTGTAACAACAGGAGACCTTACAATCATCTGATTTCCTCGTAGTTTTCATGTACTGAATTGACAAAATTCTATTCATGAGTAGTATGATTTATCTAATTTAAGTACAAACACAAAGTTAAATAAAAATAATCCGCCAGAGAGACAAAGATCCAGTTAACAGGTATCTATATCCAGATTTATCTAAGTTTAAATTAATCAAAAGGTATGGAGATGCTGATAAAACATACATCTAAATGTAAATATGAAAATAAAAATTAGAAAATCAGATTTGAAAAGAAGAAAATTACCTGTATTGTGCTTTCCTTAACACTGAGAAACAAGAGTAAAGATTGAGAGAGAGTTGGTAAGAGCGTGATGAGTGGATAAGAGAAATAATTGAGAGTTTGATCGGAGAGGTGGAAATATCTGTGGAAAAATACTGTAGTTGACTGATTCTTTTGAGGGAGGCCCAGAACCACTCATTCAGTCTTTTTATCGAAACATAAAAGAAAAAAATCTCTTTGGATGAAAAGGAGTTTATTAGTGTGAGGTGCAAGGAAATTTCTCAAAAAGTAAACCCTTTATTTTTTGTTTACACATCTTGAATAAGCAACCAAAAAATGCATCAAAAGAAATCTTTGTTTTATTCTGTTTCTGCTATTTTTGTTTTCCCTGACATTGCTAGAAGTAAATGAAGGTTAAGTTATTGAATTATAAGGTGTGTGGTCTCACGTACAATACTCAAATGCATCTTCTAGTTCTCATATATTCAAATCATGCATATGCCAAATCCCAGAACTCCACAAGTCTGTTTCTGAAAGAAACTGTAACCAGATATATTTATCAGGAAGTGTATGATAAAATTTCTTGTACAGGATGCCCTGTTTTTACCACAAATAATTTCATGATATGATATAAACCATTCATAATCTGAAGAAAAAATTAGTGCTGCAAATGTATTGTAATAAGGAGAGTATATCTAATACGTTAATAGAAAGATTTCAACCCAAACAACTACCTTTAGCTGGCTGCAGATTATGTAAAAAACCATACCTTAACCCCCTCTCATCAATGTATCAAAACTGTTAATTACGAACTTATAGTTAATGTAGCACGCTAGAAATCCAAGAATGGCATTGGAGGGACAAAATTAGATGTATTACATTGTATAATGCTTGACATATTAGTGTTGATTTTCTCGGGTATTAATCTGAACTATGAGACTCTCTCTGTGATTTGAGTTCTAGTGAATGACAAAATGCAGTCATCCATAATTAATAATCTGCCAAAGATTAATGCTGGATGTGAGTATAAAAAACGAAAAGAAAGAAGAAAAAATGTCTTCATTTTGGGGCGACCTTTCTGATAAGAAGAAGAGGAAAAATAAGAAAAAGAAATTCTGAAACTTTGCAGCTTTGACAACTCAGAAAAATCTGGACATTAAACAGAAAGGAATCTATAATGCAGGAATAAAAAAAAACGATATATGCTTCAGAAAAGGCAGTGTTGGTGACTAGAAGAATCATCTAACATCCGAATTGGCAGAGCAGATTGACCAGATTTCCCAGAAAAAATTCTAGGATTCTTGTATGTTTATGTGGTGATTAATTTATGTTGAAGTTCTGAACATTTTACGAATTTAAACTAACGTTTTTGTTTTCCGTTACCCTTGAATAACGTGGAAACGATTACTGTCAGTTGACCCGCTAAACC